GAAGACCAGTTAGTCATGCGTACTTCTCCCTTACCTAACGCTAATCCCCTTGGCTCACAGCGCTACCATCTACTGCTGCAAACTTAAAACGAAGTACATGTTTGTGATCAAGTGGTTTATGATAAAGAATATACCATGGTCTTGTTTTTGAGCCATGTATTAATCCTATTAAACACACACACACACACACACACACACACACACACACACCCCTTTAGTCAAAGCTGACGGACTAAATCTTGGAACTCAAGCTTATATTCGTCAGTTCTGAGCTTCAACTCCAATAGCTTGTAGGCTACTCAGGAAAGGTGCAAAATCAGACAAGACTCTACTGTTTCTGAAGATACAACTTGTACCTGTGTGGGTGGATTTGGAGGCAGCCCCAGGACTAGCACATCTGTCCTAGAACACCCCCTGGCAGCCTTCCTAAAATGTACTCCAACAGATATCTTGGCCAAATTGCCAGGCCTTGCTTAATGCCGGGCCTCCCCCTCCTTGTGGAGCTGGAACCCCTGAAGCAACCACTGTAAGCACCTCCCCGGAGGAATAGGGCAGGCATTTCTGCACAGAAAATGATCCCTCAGAGCCCACGTGGGTTTTCCTATACGTCCACTCCACTTCTGTCAACAGGCAGTTGTTTAAAAGGTCTGTTACATGCCTTTATGGAGACAACCACACAACAATGGTGAAACGACATGCAGCGGAGGCATTGGTAGCCTGTAAGTAGGGCATGCATACAAAGTGTACCGCAAACAGCACATGTGCCAGCTGTTGTGTTTTGATCAATCTTAGGTAAAATATCCCTCTTCAGAAGAATGGAGTCAAATACTTAAGTGTAAATGCACAATTAACAATGATCTCCTCCCTGTCCCGTCTCCCCTTGAGCCTACATGTAATATATTTAAAAATTTAGAGGCTGAAAGTGTTTTCGAAGTATGCACTAAAAACCTTGAAATGAATTGCATGATAAATAATTTGTGGGTTATAGCTGAGGTTCTAACCACACCCTTAAAATGGTGTACATTGTTGCATTTAAGTAGATTTGAAATTTAAAAATGATTTTATTTGTACTATTTAGAAATGTAGATGTTCAGGTTAGCAGTCATGGCAGGGTGAAAGAATACACTCTGTTTCTGGCTTTGGCACTTAGAGCATAAGGTTGCCTTTAACATTTCAAATTACCACTGTTGTAATTACATGACTATTCCTAGTATATCAAAAGGGACAGTTACCAAACCAGAATTTTGGTAGAAGCATTCACCATTTCATGCTTGAAAAATACTATTTGCCTCCCTAAATATCTCTTATTTAGCCGAGTCACCTGTTCTTAAAAATTTGCATTGGAATTTCATTAAGAAAATTTAAACAACAAAACTTGAAGAATGTAAACATCCAACACTAAATGCTTAGTGACCGTTATTAATCTTCTCAATTTCTCATTTCTATTCACTGGCATAGGGAAACGAGTAGCTATTTCAAAGTTAAAATGATTGTTTGGACTAAGTGTGAAGTTTTGTCATGCAAAATGAACTATAGTTGAAGTCCAGGCTACCCACCACCGCGGCCGAGGTGTGTTGTGCTTCCTGGACTGAAGTGTGGCCGAAGCTTTTCGGTCCGGTACTGCCTGTCTGTTTATGGCGAATAAAACCACGCTTGCCCTTTTTGTTGTTGTTTCTACAGGTCTGTGCCTGGCACTTCTTTCCCACATCCTCTGTGCCCGATACTCCATGTTCGCCGCTAAGCTTCTGACACACATGATGGCAGCCAGCTTAGGGACCCAGGTAGGAGAAAGGCTTGTTTGCCGACTTGTCATGAGATGTTCCTGTTTCTTCACCAGGGATCCTTGAACTGAATGTACTAGTAAAGTGTAGCATCCACAGTGCTGAAGAGATGCTCTTTCACTCCTGTGTTGTGAAGGAGCGCGGCAGGGAGGGGCCGGTCTAAGGAAGTGAGAACAGCAGGTCCAAGCGATTATTTGTGAACTTTTCTGCAGGGAGGTATCTAATAACATTGCTTAAAAACAGCAGCTTTTTCCTAACACAAAGCAACCTATTGTCAGCTAATCGACGCTAAATATATTCTTAAAAGGTAGACAGAGAATTAACATGTTACGGAAATTGACAAATTTTATGTTTTTAAATAAAATCTTATACTGTGGTATGAATTCTTTAGCATGAGGGTTACTAAAATGATCTGTACTTTAAAACCTAGCATCTAGATAACATGCTTTAGTTAACATTCTAGAATACCGTTTGGTGGAACATCCTCTGTTGGGGAACAGTGCAGGGGCACTGTGGAATAATTAGTGTGATTCAGTCAACCACTGGCACGCAATGCAAAGCAGATAGTTCAAAGCACAAAAGTCAAAGTAAAAGAAATAAGTGGCCTCTTCTGGTCATGAGGTGCTCACAGTCAGAAGCAGCAGAGAGATGTAGGTGACTCTAACGTGGTGTGGAGAAACAGAGAAACGACTTTGCGACATAGGTTCATTTCCCAGTAAAGGAAGGGCACCATTTGTAGCGGAGGTGATGTTTGAACTGAGACTTGAATGAGTAGGAGCTCGCAAGGAGGTTGGCAAGGAGAAGGAAGGGATGTTTGCATGATCACAGGGGGGAATTAGAATCACTTTCTCTTTGTGCCTGCAAATAGAGATCCAGACAATAGCGATCTCAGTATATTGTTTAATACTGTTCTCTGGATATGGAGAAGCACTCTTGGGGTAAGAACGTGTGCTGTGGCTTGATTGGGTCCTGGATGCCGGGTGTAAGCAATGTGTGCGAGTGGACCCTGCTGCACCATTAGGATTTGTATACTCTCTTTTAAAATGGGAACGGACGTGGTATTGAACTCTGGACAGCAACATAAACAAAAATCAACAGTGAGTGGAGAAGCTGAACTATTATATGGGAACTTAGGTGGGACCTTAGAATTTTTGCCTTTCCTGTAGCAATGGTGTATACAGATTTGAGAACTATATTTTTCAGGAACAGATTCAGTGCTGAATTCCCATCTGAGGGCCCTAGATTGAATTTTAAAATTACCTGTTTACGTTTGACAAGGCTATTTACATTGCCTTGGTAACCTGTCTTAACTGTCTGATCTTGCCTTTGCTTTTTGTATGTAAGATCTTAGAAAACCCGCCTTCCATAATTAGAGTTTACTTGGCTCTATTCACCACCCACTCTGGTGATTTTTTTGGCAGCAGAATTTGTTCAAGACTTAATTATAGCACTGTAGAATTACAGACAACTCCTCTGTGTCCTAGCAGACACATTTGCTCATGTCTAGGGATGTGTAAGAAAGAAAGACCCCGGATTTGTATGCTGGGCCATGGTCTTGTGCTTCATGTTGTACTTAACATCACTCTAAGAGAAAATGATTTGTCAGATCCATGTCCTTTGGCATATTTTGGCATATATGATGCAGCATGACAGGAGAAGTTATATGATATATGAATTGTGGTGTGAGATAGCTACAGAATAATTTCCATGTTTTTTTTCTGGGCAGGAAGAATTTGTGTATTGTTGACAGAAAGAACTGTTTTCAGAAAATGGCTTTCCTATTTATTCTGATTTACAAAATATCTTCAGTGACAGGGACGTAATCTCCCCTAAGTCTTTTAGAAAAGGCTCCCTCCAAGGCAAGGAAGCTGACTGCAGAAACACAGGCTCACCCTGTCTCTTCCTATAGTGGGCTTGTGCTTATTGGCCCCAGATACAGAATTTTGCCGGTGCAAGTTATTCCAGTTCCAGCCCTGGGTCTCCTGTTTGGGAACCTCCTTTTTTTTTTTCTTTTACTTTTTAAAAAAAACTCGTTTTATTGGGGGCTCATACAGCTCTCTTATCACATCCATCTTTCCATCCATTGTGTCAAGCATATTTGTATATTTGTTACCATCATCATTCTCAAAACATTTTCTTTCTACTTGAGCCCTTGGTATCAGCTACTCAATTTTTTCCCTCCCTTTCCTTTCCTCCCTCATGATCTGTTGATAATTTATAAATTGTTATTATTTTTTCATGTCTTATACTGGTTGATGTCTCCCTTCACCCACTTTTCTGTTTTCCATCCCCCAGGGTTATATATAGATCATTGCGATTTTTCCCCCCATTTTTGTTACACTGAAATTCTTATACATCCTCTAGGGAAGTCTTTTAAAAAATGCAGTGTGGCCTGTGATATTTGGGTTGACTGGATAAGACTGTAGCTGACACAGAGTGCGAGGGCAGTGAACACTCCGAGGGCGGGCCTCCTACCAAATGGAACAGCTTTTGTGGAGAAGGGAAGAAGGGAAAGGTGAGGGGCCCAGACTTCTTTCCACGTAACAGACAGGTGGCTGAGTCTGGCCAAGTGGGGTCTGTCTTACTTCTCCACTTCTCTAGTTTATTATTCATACGTGGATAGGTAGAGAGGAGAATCCAAACACTGACTGTGCCTTAAAAGCCTGCATCCATTTCATCTGGGGTCGTGTTAAGGCATCCCTGCAGCTCTGAGAGTCATTGACTATACAGTTCCAGCAGGTGGCAGTAGAAGATGCTTTTTCCGCAAAACTGCTTGTCAGATCTGTTTCAAAGATGGAGTTCAGGAGAAAAGTCGAGAGATGCTTTCTTCTCTCTTCCTTACCTAGGCTAAAAAGCTTTCGTTGGTAACACAGCATACACATATTTGCAATCGCCGACCTTGTCTTTTCATCTCCTTGCTTCGCAATCGGAAGAAGTGCGTCAATAAAGCACCAAAAAGACGACTGCACAGCACTTCCTCTTGGTATCATTCAACAGAGTCAGCGCCTTAACGCAAGTTCATCGTTACATTTAGGCTTTGATAAATTTTAAGGAGTGGGCTTTTGGGGTTGAAAGTGTATTTAGGGAACCATCATAGACATGTTGTTCAAGACTTAATTGTAGCACAGTAGAATTACAGATAAGTTCCATATTGACAGTATTGTTTACCAGAACTATGTTTTTCTTCAATGCCTAGTTTTTTCTTAACCATCTATAAAAAAATGGGTGAACGGCCTAGTTTTTTCTTCACCATCTATGAAAAGTGAGTGAACGGTATGAATTATGGGGCCCTCACTTCCAATATGAAGTGAAAATAGCAAATCAATGTTGGTTGCATTGGGCAATATTTCTCGGAAAACATCTAATTATATCGTTGGCATTTTTATCTTGGAATCGCACCCCCCAACCCCCCCCCCCTCCCAGTTGCCCTGATAAGCCCAGTAAACAGCCAGGACAAAGGACACGTTGACAGTTCAGGGTTCTCGGTGCTGGTGGCTCCCTCAGGAAAAGCAGTTCTAATAATCTAAAAAAAGAACAGAAGTTTCCTCATAGAAAACATGCTGATAAGCTAGAAATGCATTTGACCTGATTAAAAATATTGAGCAAGGAGGAAATTTCAGGGCATTTCAAAAAGTTCATGAAAAAGCCCAGTATCCTTTCATTCCATTTTCCATGAACTATTAAAATCTCACTGGTACTTGATTTTCCTTCTATTTTTGTTAGTTTGCTTATTTATAGAGTCTAATCAGTTTTTTGTAATTGAGCATTTTCATCCAGAACATATGATTAGATTTGTCAGGAAATTCACTCATTGCCTTAATTCAGGCCATATTATGAATATTTGAAAATTTGAAATACTTAAGGATTTTGGTAGCCCCTGAACATGCAGAATCCTTCCAAAGAATGGAGAAAAATATTGCCCTAAAAATTCAGAACCATTCTCTGGAATTTAGCCAAATTTGGGAAAACTGAGCAAAATGTTTCCTCATTTTATAATGTTTTAGAGTAACTCAGTTTGCAATGTTTGGCTCCCCAATAGCATCCTGTTCACACATCATTGCTCAAAGATCCTGTTTTCACCTGAATTGAATGTCGTTCTGACTCTGGGCAGCTAGCGCCTCTGAGAAGCCTCTGGGTGCATCCTTCTGGTTCAGAACTGAGTGATGTGCAAGCTCTTGGAGGCTGCTGCAGGCCCTAGGTCCCTTACAGCTGTTTCCTCTGGGTTGTTGAGAATGCCAATGCCCGACAACCTATATCTAATAACCATACTTTTTATCACTTGGAGACAAAGAATAAGATTGAAAAATGTAAAATGCTTATTATCCAGACACACCTTTCATTAGAGGGAAGTTTTGTTCCATCACTTAGTAAGCAGAATATCCTTTGTTATTTCTCTTTTCTGTATGGTATAGAAAAGTATCGGAGAGTGTAAGTCCATGGGTTCAGTACTGACTTCTGCTCTGAGGCCTGGGAGCACGAGAAACCCGGAGCAGCATCCCTCTAGGGAGCAGTTACAGTGGTGTGTCAGCGGGGATATTAATGGATTAGGACTAACCGTGACCGTCTTCAGCTCGTTCACATTCAGACTCTGACGAGTACATCTAGGGTGGATCTTCAGCTCCTGCGTGTTCAGACCAGAAGACGAGAGGCCGGCCGGATTCAGACCCAAATGCATCGCTGGTGGTGGTGTTTGCTCCAATTTCTGCTATTATTATCATTACTAAATTCATACTCTAACCGCTTTTCTTCTGTATGGATTAATTAAGTCAATCTTTGCTTTCCTTTGAGGCATGTCCTTCATTGTTTTAAAACTATCATAAACGTTTATCTCTCCAACCCTCAACCCCCCGGCCTGCAGCTGCTTCCTCCTGCTTCCTTTCTTCTGGTTCCCTGCTAAGTTATTTAGAAACGCAAGGGTCCATAGACAAGGAAATGTACAGACGACTCAACGTGCAGATCAGGAATCCACGCTGATCTTTCTCGTCGCATTTCACACATTC